GTGGTGGGGCAGCGGCGGGAGCCCCGGCGGATCCCGCCCCCGGGCCCTGCACTCGGGTGGCCGCCGCATTGGCTGCGCTTTGTTTGCTTTTCGTGATGCTTTCTCTGTCAGAAGGGATTTTGACATAAGCAGGAACTGTGAAGATGAAATTACTGGTTCTAAATGCAGGCACGCACACATGCGCGTGGAAATTGTCTCGAGGAAGCGCTTCCCAGAGTGCCCTGGCCTTTATTAGCGTATGAAAATTCCCCGGTAGAGTTGATGCTTTTCGGTATAGCCGGTGAACTTCTGGGACCCGAGCGAGCGTCTGTGGAATAATTGGCCCCCAGCTCCAAAAGCGCAGAGTTGCCCTCGCGCTGTCCTGGGAGCTTGGTGTGGCCCATCTGAAGGGGGACGAAGCGCCGAGCATGCCCGAGCTCTGTGTCTGAGGAGGAAATGGCCGTGGTGTTGGGCATTGCCTCCAGAGGTGGAGATCACCTGCACAGCGATAAGGGTGTGGGTGTTCAGGTGGAAGCAGCAGTGTTCCGAGGTTGTGCGGATTGGTAACTGTTGCGTGTTTAGATAAGGCTCATGGGACGGGTAATCAATTACAAGAGCAGCCAGCTAGGATTTCAGGCATTTGCATCCTTCTTCAGCACCGAGTTTGATGTTCGTGTCTAGATAGCGCTCACATTTAAACTCAAGTTACAGTTTTCATAGGTGCTGTGATTTATCATTGCTTGTGTGTATCCTGCTCTGCATCTTAAATTCTGCATCCTCTCATGCTGAAATATGAGGCAGATCTGATGGATTGAGCTTATTCACTTGGGGTCTGTCGTGACTTGGCAAGCCGTTAAGGTACAGGTGAAGAATTAGGATGATCCTTGTGAAACCAAATGTGAAACTTTACAGAACTGAAATGAGGCCAAGTCTGTCCAGTCCTTTGGGGGTCTCCAGTACTGATGTTGTTGCACAGTAGTAATTGTCAAGGCCAGGGCTTTCCTTCTCACTGTGAATCCTCGGTGATTAACATGTTGCTCTTCTCCAGGTGAAAGGTAAAATTGAGGGCTTGACGTTTGTGCTGTGTTAGTTTCTGTAAGGCTTCTTGTAGATGAGGAAGTGTGTGTCTCATTCTTATGCTTCCCTAAAGTAGTCCCCTAGAAGCAGCTGTTTCAAAATAGGTTGGCACTATAGGATAGATCTGGGTTAAGAAGATCCCACTGGATCTAAAGATTTCACTTTAGAAGTAATGCAAATTGCACAGGGATCTTTTCTACTTTTCTGAAAGATACATTTAAGCATCAGTTTTACCAAAAAAAAAAAAAAAGCTATATGAGGTGGTTAATATTGGATAAGCAACACTTGTAGTTTTGGGACATGCTTGCTGGATGCTTTTCACTGGTTACAGCACGTTGCCCACCTTGAGTTGTGGCAGGTAATGGGTGTTCTCTCTCCTTGACATAACTGCTGCTTGCAGGGTTTTCTCCTGTCCTGCTCTTATTGTGTGGAGCTCTCGCTTTCACAAGTATTAGTGATCACATTAGTGAGAAGGCTTTCCCAAATCTTCAGGATTTAGAAAAGAGTGCATGTGTGGAGGGAGTTTCTGCCTGGTAGAAACTCTGGTAATTTTTCTTGTCACTACATCTAGTGACAGTTAGTTTGCTGAAGCCTAAAACAGAAAATTGGGGTGAAGAAAAACAGTGCTTATCAGTGATGAACCCGGTAATAAGTTTGATTTCAAGGTATTGGGCATTGATTGCCCTCTGGCATAAGGTAGTAATTCGTCTTTTTACCAGTGGGGAGGGGGGAGAATATTTTATACAAAAATTACCTGTGATTAGGCATGAGGTACTGATGACTGAGTACTGTATTTACAAGTGCCTGTCAGGTACTTGGGGGTCATTAGTAACTTACTGTAAACACCTGCTTGCACGTGTTGACAGAAGAAGGGGTGAGTTCCGATTATCTCCTTGTCTCAACATTGTCATATTAAAAAAGGTGGTTGTGGTCTTATAAATGTAGGAGACCATACCCACCAGACATTGCAACATTCCGCTGTAGTGCTGTTCTGTATTGTCGATGGCCTAGGTAAAAGCAAGAGGCATCTTTTTTTTTTTTTTTAAAATAAAACAGTCAAAAACACCCAACCCACAAAAAAACCCCAACCAAAGCCCTACCAAAAAAACCCACCAAACCAACTAAATCCAAAAAACCCAAAATAGAGGTGATGATGGAGTGACAGGAAGAACCTGTGTTTGAACTCTGTAAGTTCTAAAGTAAGTGAATGGCTAGTGCTGAGGTTGCTCTTATGTTTTCATTATTAGAATGCTTTGAAGCACCACTTTTTCTTCTTTTTTTTTCTCAGTTTTGGTTGCTGTGGTAAAAGACAAGGAAATATTTCGCACCACAGTGAGAGAAACCACGAAAGATTTCAGGTTCCAGTTTCCCCCTTCCCACTGATGATGTAGCTTTCTGTTTGAGATGGAGATAGTTTGCTGCATATTAATGGTGTTTATAATGTTAATTTCTAACTATGCTGACATAATTTCTCTCAGTTCTTGGATATGGAGAGAGTTTGCTTATTTTAAGTATGTGTTTTCTGCTTTCATGTCAGCATATTTATCTGTTTGCCTTTAGCCTGGCACTATAAACGTGACTAATTGAGAATCCACATGTGAGTAGTAATTGTGTGTGGTGATGAATGGGATCCTGTCTTAGCATCTGTCCCCTAGTGTGGGGTGAGTACCTGGTGGTTCCTGTGGTGAAAGCCGGGGCTCTGCCAGCACTTATTTGTAACTGTGGATCAAAGTGACTTGTCACTTAGGAGATACGTTTTAGTTTTTGCTCCCAGTAGTCAAGTGAGCTGGGCCACTGTATTCAAAAGAGCTGTCTTTGGTGTTTTTTTTTAATATATATATATATTCTGCATATTGGTAACAAATTTTAGAAGATTGAACAAAAGTACTCAACAGGTGTCAGTGGTGTACTCTTAGGCTGCTGCTTGTGGGGTGAAGTGTGGAGGTTTGCTAATCCCGCGCAGGACTCGACCGTGTCCCCTTGCAGAAGGCACCGTGTGTGGTAGAACGGAGGCCGCTGGGTGCTTCCCCCAGTGCCACTTGAGTCCTGAATTTAACAAGGCTACATAATGGCATGGATACTTTATCTGATGATGTTTTTCTCTCATGCTTACCATGTTAGGAAGTTCCTGCTGTCTTTTTATATCATCTGTTGGCCTTCACATGTTAAATGACACTTTTCTGGGGCCATAAATGTAGGAGTGGGAGGGCCTGCCCGGCCACCTGTGCAGGGGGCAGCGGGGCAAGGGCTGGGCTCGGCGCTGGCATGGGGGTGTCTCACCCTCCCGTCTGCTCCAGGACCCGGCTCCTCTGGGGCAGCGAACCTGCGCAGCGAGGAGCCGCAGGGGCGGCAGCCTGCAGCCTGCTGGGGGTCAGGAGTACAGGCAGCTGTGAGCAGCACCCTGCTCACTTCTCCCTGTCAGCTGCTGTTTTAACTCTCTAACATCCAGAGGCTGCAAGCAGTGTCAGGGGTGTCTTGCCACGGCAGTGATTATCATTTCAGTCCCCAAGAGCGAGCGTTGTGTTTGCGCGGTGGTTTGGGACACTGGGCAGATGCACTGACAGGATTGCTCGTGTCGGATAGATAATCACACCGTTCTCCCGTGGAGTTGATTCTGCTGTTGTGTTCAGTTCTTTTCTGTGAAAAGACATAGCCTATAAGGTAAGGAGCATTTTTTTCCAAATCACAGTGAAAACTTGCTCCTTACTGTGGATATAATCTTCCCCTGGCCCGCTCGCTGTCATCTCGGCTCGCAGTGCTGACCGACTTGAGAGCACATCTGGGCCCTCTCTGGCTGTTGCCGTGACTGGAGCATCTTGCCTGAGTATCTGGGAATAGGTCAGGTGTGACGGACAAGGGCCTTTTGACGCAGAACGTGTGGGAGTGGCTGTAATGTGAGATTTGGAATAAGTACCAGAGCTGCTTTTGAAGGCTGCTGTAAAGGACAAGATGTCTTCCTGCTGTGCTGCTGGGTTCGTAGCGGGGATGAGCAGAGCCATCCAGGCTGCCTTAATATTCTGGAACGCAGCTGAAAGAAGCGGTTGGACGCAGTGTGTACTCGAGTGTAGGAATGGGAACTTTGGGGGGTGATGTGATCGATGTTCTCTTGCTTCCTTCTGTCCCCAGCCTTGCTTGTGATGGCTCCTAACTCTCTCTTTTGCATTCTGTAGGCACTGGGGAGAGCGGAAAGAGCACGTTCATTAAACAAATGCGTATAATTCATGGCTCAGGCTACTCTGAAGAGGACAAAAAAGGCTTCACCAAGCTGGTGTACCAAAACATCTTCACTGCCATGCAGTCTATGATCAGGGCCATGGAAACCCTGAAGATTCTGTACAAATATGAACAGAATAAGGTAAGTTTCTCACAGTTTTTGCATGTGTCTTTAGGCAATGGGGATTCTAGGGTTTGGCTCCAAAGTTCCCATTTGTTTGTGTCATCCTGCATTGCAGCCTTAACCTCCCTGAATTCTTTCCCATAAATATTTTGTGCTTAAGGGCTGCTTTTTATGACATTTTTTTGGTATCTGACTCCATTTACTTGTTTGTTAGGGGATAGGGCAGCTTTCTCAGGATGGTTTGTGCACTGGTCTGCAGGATGAGTGGTGGGAGCAAGGGACTGGGATACGATATAGGCTTTAGGGGAGGTGTTCTTTGTACTCATTTCAAGGACTCAGTATTGGTCAGGCTCTTCTTTGCATGAGTTACTATTCACATTGGGACGTGGAGCTAACAAAATACGTGCTGGACCCGAAAGACACCTCTGCGGGTAGTTATCACTGTTCCTGCAATCTGTCGGGTTTTTCTGACCAAAGGTACAAACCTTTCTTGAAAGATTTTGGTGTCAACCATGGAAATATGATTTGAGCTAAGTCTGGCTTACAGATTTTGGGTCCAGGAATAAATTTTTCAGCCAGATCTGGTCTAAATTATTTTAGGTTTCTGGGGGGAGGATGGGGAGGGTGAGGGCATGCCATGATTTTTTTTTTTTTTAGTGTATTTTGCTTTGTTAATGCTTAGTACCTTAATATTTTTTAAGTGAAATTGTATTTGTTCTGTCACACAGTAACTTGAAGCAGATTTTTAATACCTGTTTATAGGGACTGGATGGCGCACCAGGAGTTCTTGAGTCTGAACACCTTTTTCGCCTTTAGAAAGGTTCTGTAGTCGTGGTGATGAGAGCAGGCAGGGTGTGAGGCAGCTTGCCTTGCCTGTGTGTGGTGGTGGGGGGGTTGATAGGTATAATCTGCCAACTTTTATTTACCATAATGTGTGCAGAACTTGGCTTTGTTTGTTATTTTTCCTGGTATAGGCAAAAGCCCCTTCCTGTGGCAAGGGTACCAAAGATTTCTGAAAGCAGCTTGTGTGGATAATAACCTCACAGATGCCACAGGCTGTTGTAATGACTGCAGTGCTTGCTTTGCCTATAGATTGTAGGGTGGGCATTTGTATTTTCTCTCTCAAAAGGGATAATAATTGAAGTATGCTGGAACAATGCCTCTATTGCTTTTAAACGTACTTTAGAATTTTTTTTCTAATAAACCCGAGATAATCGACTTGTTATCCACCTGTAGTTTAACCTCCTCAGAAGCTGGGCAGTCTGTGGCTCTTCACAGTAAATGCTCTGCCTTGGAAACCACTGTGTTTCAAAGCACCCGGTGATCTAATGATGGGTGGAACCTGCTGCTGCTGTACAGCTGCCTTGGGGGAATTCTGCTGATGTCTGCTGTGTCTTAGATGTACAGCTTAGCCATCCTCCCTCTGGTCTTAGCAACCTGATCCACAATGAGCATGTGGATCCTTGAAGTCATAATGTAAGGATTTAGTTAATCTGAGAATCTTTGGCCTGCCTGTGACCAGTACCCCTTGCTCGTGACCACCACCAACCCAAGCCCCCCCCCCCCCC